ACGGTGAGTGTGTGTGTGAGTATGTGCATTCGTGTCGTCTATATTTTACCATGTAAATACGACTCCCCTAATATTATATAATTTATAGGTACATATACGAATATAGGAAAAATATGCCGTGCCGTGGTGGTGTGGTGGCCGTGGTTGTATACACTGCGAAAAACAATTCATTTTCCCTGCCCTGGGTTAGGGGTAGCGAAGCTCCTCTGATTCGACCCCGAAGAACGCGGACGCATTTCTTTTTACATATTTTATTTCTAACCGAACGATTATTATTATTGTTTTGTACCTCATCCCCACCGCACGCATATTGTATCCATATAAAACATGTTACAACTTTATCCGCATTCGTCGATTCGTAATGCGGTGATATTAAAACACGTAAAATGGCGGATGGGAAGTTAGTGGACGGAAACGAAAACCCTATGTATCACAGAAAAGTTAAACGCTTGAGGTACTTTTTTTGGTAGTCCCGGCAGTGGATATTTACAAGTAAAGAACGGTAAAGGCTTTGAGAAACGACGACGGTAACGACAGATAGCCAGACTTAAAATATTATTTTAATCTCCGATCACCGTTATTGGAGCCAACGGTCGCTGCCTTGGTATAAAATTATGTATGACTCGTGGAAAAACGATTTGCAGAGGCCGAATGCCACGTCATAGATGGAGGTATATGTGTTTGTGTGTGTGTATGTTTTTCGGCTCTGTTGCACTAAATTTATAACAATAATATGATACCAGTGTGCGAGTATACCACATCGCGATACATTGCCTGCTGATCGCCGTGTATGGTACCTACCGGCAGCATTACAATATAATATAGTGTTGAACAAAGATGGACATAGTTAAAAAGTTAAAGCATTTTTTTTTAATTTTAAAATCAACTAGTTGGTTGATTTTTTTTGTTTAGTTATTTTTTTAGGTTCAATTATTTTACCTAAATAAAAATGAAAAAATAATTTTTTTTTTCATTAAATATTTTAGTCCACACTATAAATGTACTACTAAACTGTAATTATTGACTAAACCACAAAGGAATAGTAGGATTTATTTTTAATATAATATTTAGTTATTACCTATTTAAAAATAAAATAAAAGTTTCACAGCTACCACTATACCTATATGTGTGACCAAAATGGACATAAAAAAATTAATTAACTCTTTTTAACCAAGTTCGGTTAATATTAATTTTCTCCTTATTATATAACTTTAAACTTTATGAGTTGAATTTATTGTTGGTTAACTAACGCCAGACAATTTTTTTCATTAACTAAATAAGCTACCTCTAAATAATAAGGTGGTCTCAACCTTTGGACTTTATTGTACTACTACAATATATCATTATGTATGTTTTACAATAATATACAACACGTATAGCCGACAATCACATGATATATAATATTGTTTTTCGTTCGCACATAATAACAATATTGACAGGCGCGTGTGCGAGACACCGTCACACACGCCTTTACCTTGCGCACAATATTATTTAGACATATTATTATAACAATATAGTACACTGGGCCGGAAACCGTTGCCGGCGTCGTAAAACCGACCGTAAAACTATATAACCGATAATGCGGTACAATAAATGCCTCTCGAAAGATGTCCTGCGCGACACACTTTGTGTTGGGTGGAGAACGCGTGCAGGTAGTGATCTGCACTCGTCTATACCGCGGTTATGGTCGTCTGGCACGACGGCGGGAAACCAAAACAGCCGGGAGGTAGAAGGGGGTGGTTAAAGGGCTGTAAACGAAAAGACGACTTCGGGGTTGTATTATATTAACCCTTTCAGCGCAATAATCTCATCTGTCGGTACGTATTATATTTTTCGATATAACATACGCGCCTAACTGTATATTATGTGATGGTAATAAAATGTACGAGCTGCAGCAACAATGACGACGACGACTTTGTCCACTGTCGTATTATAATATAATACCTATACCCATTACTGTTATTATTATTATTATATTTTTTCTTTTAATACGCACACGCGTTCCGTGTGCACGTATATGTCGTATAATATAATATATTAAGATAATAATTTTGCATACCGTTGTATGTGAAATATATTCATGATTTTCCGATTGTGCATTTTATTTCGATAATATTTTACAGGACTGCACTGACACAGTAAGTTATGGACCACGGTCACGAAAAGCTCGTGGAAATCGTTTCCCGAGATCCCCTCCCCCCGACACTCGTCACCGCCACCGTTCCAAGGTGGTTAATAATAATACAACTCCGCGTCGGCGTCGTAATAATTATCACATCACCGTAATATTATACGGTGGCGGCGGCGTCCGAAGAATTCGTTGGTTATAAGCGCGAAACCAGCGAACACTGTTATTCCGTATAAAATTATCGTCGTCGTCGTCGTCGTCGTCGTCGTACATTATTTAAGTCCAATCATATCGAATTTTACACTGAGGAGTCGGTCGTTTTCGGGTTGTATACCTCACCCGCTGCTACAATAATAATAATAATAGTAATAATAACAACAACACAATTAACAATATTATGTTGACTTAGAGTCAAAACTCCCAGCGGGTCTCGGGAATTTAAAAATTCGACTGAATTGCCCTCAAAATTTCTCACGAAACTTGGGTAGCACCGTTTAGTGAATTCACATTACATACAGTATTATTATCTGCTTAACTTTAGGAGGACTTTTTACGTAGTTCAAGGGTTGCTGATACATTGCAAAAAAAACTCTGTCGTGTGTTCAATGTGTATATGACAATTATTGATGATTATATATAACGTATAAGTATAGTACATATCATATCTTTTTTCTGACGTATAATTGGTTATTTTATGTTTTGGATAAACAACCGCACCGTCGCACAACAATATAATATAAAATACACGATTGGTTCAGCTATTCCTCGTATGAGGTGAATTAAGTTATAAGGTCGATCCATATTACAAAATAGGATTTAAAGATCTAGCTATAAATACTATAAACATAGAGAGAGAATAAGATTATAATGACGATGGTATTTTAAAAGTATATTGGCTTCTTGGATATAGAGATATTATATTATACAATTATAAAATATTGAACGTGCTCACTGAAGAATAAAAAATATCATACTGTAGTTATTTTATTGTTTTTTGTTCGATTTTTGAGAATTATTATTTAATGACGTGTGGGTGACCTTTTGAAACTCTATGGCTTATTTTGAACCCTGATTTTCCAAAAGTCGACTACTAAATCCTAGTAAAGCCCATGCATAATTGGTATTAGATATAATATGGAATATACAATGTAAAATGTATAATCAATGGTATACGTAATTTGTTGTTGGGTTTTAATTTTGCGGAGAGCGCCCGCGCAATACAAGTCGTTTTGCATATTATAATAATCGTAATAATATTATAATATAGAAAATTCGCGGCCGGTTATAGCCGTTCGCGAATGCTGCTGCGGAGAACGCGAACAGTATACGATTTATTTTTTTTCCAAACACATTTTCTGGTGACGGAATTACGCAAGCGGCGACGACTAGACTTTCTCCGCGTAAATACGCTTATAATATTATTATATTATTATATATTATAACGTGCGCAAACCGCAGCGGGGGCCGCCGAGTACCGACGACGACGGGGCAAAGGAAACGCGAAGACGAAAGAGAAAAAACCACACGACTCGACGTTACACATAAACATAATGATAATATGTGATAATATTAATAATAATAAGTTCATTATACGATAACTGCCTTGTTACAATAAAAATATTTATAATAATATATATATATACCTAATACACAAATACGCAATAACAGTATTATTTATTTGTGGAAGGGGAAATCGTACACGGAACGTGGAGGAGTTTTCAGTATCACAACCGTTGTTGCGGGATTATATGCGGCGATGTGTAGATTCAAATGTGCGAAAAATTGAAAAAAAAAATTATTACACAATCTTGAGGTATAATTTGATCAGCAAACTTTAATATTCTTATTATTGCGATACGCTTGTCCGTGTTAAACCGAATTTGTATTATTTTTCTTTTTTCGGAATGCGATTTTTGCAGGAAAATATTATATTCGATTTTCGTACAGACACGCTGTAGTGCTCGTTCGGGCTCGCAGAGAAAGATTTCGTGCTGTTGCGGCGGCGGCGACCGGATATAAAACGCGCGTGGAGAAACTTTCGCCTGTTACGACGACGACCGTTACGCAACGGACGTGGCGAGCATTCGCGGACATTCTCCTCCACCGCCGCCGCCGCCTCTCTTTCCGCGCGCCATCTCTTTATTAATACGTATATATATATATATATGTATAAACACGAACAAGATAATAATATAATATAATATATAATGGTATCGAATAAGAGAGAGAGTTTCTCGACACAACCTGCACTCTACGCACAGCAATACTAAAATAACGCTATAATAGTATTATTACTTTTACGGGGTGGCTGCAGGTGTTGCAGAAAACCAAACTCAATACTGTGCACGTTCCCCATACTTTACGCTACGCTAATCGGTAATCCCCAAACTGCGTTACTCGATATGATAATATTATATTATATCGGGCGAGCTAAGCGTACACCTATATTATTGGGATCACGATTCGATGATTTTCTCGTATCTATACACAACCATGTATAATATAATATAATAATACCTACATTGTAACAATGTCGTTACAAAGGCGGCGATGTTGTGATTGAGGTGGAGGGGTGGCGGGGATCTCGCTTTTGCGGAAAGATCGATTACGCGCGCGTTTCACGAACGGCGGCCGCCGACTCGGGAGCTCCGCATATATTATTATAATTAAATATTATAACAGCTGGTCACGACGACGACGACGACTTAAATGCTTACGATTTCATACTTCGCACAATGACGCAGACGACGACAACAAATAATAATAATAATACGTGCCCGTAATGCGCCTAACAATATTATTACTAAAATAAAATGTATACAACTCGTTTCGCGCCTAACTACAAATTACAGTACTTGGTCGGTGCATATACCTTTTCTCAACACAACGCTGGACGACGATCCCGACGATGGTGGCGGCGAACAGCACTGTTGCAACAGCGAAGTGGTCGTGGCCGCTACCGCACTCGCCACCGTCGAGGCCTGTTGCTGCTGCTGCTGCATGTCTCCAACGACACCACCGCCGACGCCCTGAGATGGCGACAGTCCGACCGACGTCACGCCGGCACCTGCCGACGGCGATAGCAAAATGCTGTTGACGGCCGCGTTGGCTGCCGCCGACGAGCCTCCCGCGTGCAGGTGTTGTTGCTGCAGGTGGTGTTGGAGCTGCTGCTGATGGTGGTTGTTATATTGCTGTTGTTGCTGTTGATGCTGCTGTTGCTGTTGCTGCTGCTGCTGTTGATGATGGTAGTACGGCGACGGCGATGGCGACGAAGACGATATGGGCGACGACGAAGACATTTATTATGCCGTCGTTGACAATGACTGTGGTTGTCGCGGTCGATTGCGACTGTCGATCACGTGTCGTTTGACATCACCTACGAACCGGTGGCGCCAGCCGACATCTGAACCGCGTGCGGTTTTACCGATAACGATGATGACGACGATGATAGAACACGGTCTGTCGTAAGCGATATCGCTATATGTACTGGTGGTATACCGTCCAGGAGACGAGTCACTGCCGGTGGTGGTGCGCCAGTCGGCAATCGTCTTCGTCGGTGTTGTCAGGGGTGGTGGTCATCGTCCGACAATCCTCACGCGTATCGTCCTTTTCCCGCGTCGTCCAGCTACAGCGATGATCGCCGTCGGTTGTTATTATATTACTGTGAATATTACTACTATCATTGATTATAAATACTATTTATAATCAATGCTACTATTTATTGCACGGTTGCGTAAATCACTACCCTACGACCGGACGACACTTTATACCAGACGGGTTTCCGCCGTTATCTGTCGGCGTTATCGTGCGCACGGCGGCGCCAACTGCATAATAATAATATGAATATGGTACTGCGGCGAATCCGTCCGGGACGTGCGAATGACGGCGAAAGGTTACGACGGGACGACGCAAAACGGCGACGAGCGTGCGGTACAATACTACTACAGTGGTACAAGCGTGTGCTCTATAATATGCGGTAACAATTTATATACCTAGATTGGTATATTATAATATATTGCAAAAATAATGAAAATAATTAATGATTATAAAATATATAATATTTTATGTGCAAAAAAATGAATAAATATTCTTGATTGCAATAATATCGTAAAAAAAGGTTATACACGGTGACGATGATAATATGATACGAAAAAGTCGAGTATATTACGCACACGCGAAAACGATACGTTTTTGGACGGCGGCAATGCACGTACGGCACGCAACACACAGAACCAATACGTCGGACGGCACTCGCTCACTAACTAACCGCCGAGTACAGTGACTGAGTACTGACGTAGTCTGCGGCGGCGGCGGCGGCAGTGGCGGGCGGCAGCGCGGTCGGCGGCGGCGGCGTCGGTGGGCGGCGTAATAGCCATTCACCGACGGTACACAGTCGGTGGAGAACTGCGTGTGTGTGTGTGTGTACCGTAAGATGGGTGGGAGGGGGTAGGGGAGGGTTTTGGTGAGAATACGAAAGAATATTACACACACACGCGAACTCTGGCTAAGTGTATATAATATATATATATATATTCGTACATTCGCGATAAGGAAAGAGTGAGAGAGAGAAAGCGGCGATCGTGTGCGGTGCGCGAATAAGTGCGGCGAGGAGTGACTCGCGGAAGAGAGAGAATATAAAATAAATAAATAAAAAACTGTATGTGTTGTAATGTATGTGTGTGTGTATGTGTGTGCACGCTCGGAAAGAATAGGAAAGAGAGTATTGTGCGAGCGAGAGGAGCGAGGAAAAAAGTGTATATAAATACGGTACGTATACGACGCGAGCGACATCAAACGAGTGCGAGTGAGTGAGAGGTGGGTGCGCGGCAAAGGGGATGAGTGAGTGAGGCGAGGCGGCGTCGAGTCGAGCGCACGACAGCAGCAGAGGCGTCGCGCGAGCGCGCGCGCGCGCATCGCCGCCGCCGCCTAGGCTACGGCTGGCGGCGGCGGCGTCGGTCGCATTCGCGCGTCGTCGATGCCGCCTGCGCGCTCGTGTTGTGTGTGTGAGTGTATACGTTATTATACACCGTACCCAAATGCGAGTATCATAACGACATATTGTTGTTGTTATTGTTATTGTATGCGCGCGTGACAGATAACGAAAAAAATTTAAATTTCGCGTCGACGTCTTTGTCGCCGAGGCGCAGTCGGCCGACCGCGTTGCCGTCGTTGTCACCTAGTCCACGCTGTGGCCAAACCTTCACCACCAACCCACGATCCACACCCGAACCTAACCTATACACACGCGCACACCCTCCTACCCACATCGGGTTACCCACCCACCCCGTCGTATAAGACATCAACGGTCATAAATGCTACCCGCCTTCAAGGGATCGACCCTGTGATAGAAGACGTACCGTCTGTGTTGAGACTAGAGTCGACCAAATATAATTCCACTAAGTCAAGATTGATCCTCCTTGCCCCTTATCAATACGTTGCATTAACGAACTGGCCGAATATAATAATATTGGTATTAAATACACCCAGCACGTTATATATAACTTTATTTTCGGAGAAAATCTGTGACGAGTGAATTTTGTTTTTCGGAGATAATTGCGTTTTATTCTCGGAAACCGACAGCACACGTTTTTTTAATATTTTTTTCCCTCTTACCGGATCTATAGTTTGCCATTTATATATATTATTATTATATAAATTGAATTCTCAACATTTATATATATATATACACACTCACAACACACGACGGGAAAACGCGTGTTATTTTCCAATACCTACCTACTTCGAATCCGAACAGAACGACTTCCGCGCGGAAGTAATATCTGAGAAATAGTATAATATATAACAACAATAATATCACTAACGCCGTCGGGTTTCTGTTTATCATCGAGCCACCACCGCTGAACGACGAAGATGTCTTAAAAACCTTCCGATACACACGTCTATACGACGCACGTAAACGATATCGGCCGAAGTACCCACTCGCTTGAGCACACCTACTTGTTTCGGAAAATCAATGACGTCGACGAGACGAATTTCTAAAAAAAAAAAAAAAAATGTAACACGACAAACGTGCGAAAATGATCGTTCGGCTTCGATCCGTTTTCTATTCGAACAACGACCAATAATAACAGTCGGAAACTCGAGTATACATTATACAATATACCTTCCGATAAAGCGGGGAAGACGAATGCCCCGAGACGTGTTGCGAACGAATCTCGTCGGAAAAACACCTGTGCGACGTGGGGGTTGGTTCGCGGCGGGGGTTGGTTTGCGGCGCGGTTAGCAGCAGCAGCAGCAGCAGTTAGGCCTAGGTAGGAGGGCGGGGTACGAAACTGTCTACATAGGTACGCGCACGTATAATATGTGTAACGCACTGAGAAACGGTACTCTCTTCGGAAAAAAAATAAACCTCTGCTCGCGTTTCACCTGTACACACGATCACAAAAACCTGCAGGTAAACACTGGCCCGGGCGGTGGGTGGTGGTCGCAGATGTACGGGGGTGGAGTGCACACGTTGTGGGGTGAAAAAATAACGCAAAGACGACGGGGGAGAGGGAAAAAAATCATGAGACCCGTTATGTTGTCGAGTGCACGAATTCCGAATATAATAATGTTACACTCGTCACCACCGGCAGGAGACGACGACGACGCGACGTCCGTCCCGGTGATGCCGCGGCGGCGACCATCGACGCCTGCGTGTCGGGTTGCCTCGTCGCGGCACTATTCAATGTGTATAATAGTAATAATAACAATAATAATACACAGGACCGTGATGATGATGATAATATTAATAATACGCACTAAACGTGTACCATAGTACTGTGTATAATACGCACACCTGCTGCGCGACGTCCCGTTCCGCAGCCGGGCGCCCATTGCTGCCCTGATATTTCGAGTGTCGGCTTACCTCTGTCTGTAGGCAGGTATATAGATAATTTATAATATACAGTCGTATTACAATACATCCGAATGTGCATTACGACCGTACAATATATATACCGATTCTACGTAATGATGACGGCCCTGCAGTGGCGTGCACAGGATTTTGCTTGTCGGAAGGGTCTAATAATTTGTTGTATTGGGAAGGCTTAACAATATAGGATCCCTTTCCAACAAGTTATATTGGTATGCTGTGGGTAGTATGTATAACGCTTTAGACTTTTGCAGCAACCTCCATACAAATTACAATCTTTTAATTTTTCTGAAATTTAGTGGGGGGCAAGCCAGTCAAAAGCGATGGATGTGGTTAGGTAGGAAAAACGTATTGTCAATTTTATTGGACTTTTAATGTACACCCAATAAATAATTTGTCATATCTATAAGACATGGTTCTCATATTCATACCGCGTGAATAATTTCGATCATGCCTAGACGTAATCGGTTTAAAATTGTCCTCAAATATAAAATCAGGTAAATCAACAAAAAGAAAACCGTTATCAACACACCTGCGAGGAGATAAAATATTTTCATTTGTACATAAAATGCGGTTACAAATTAATTTGTGTTATAGCTATGATACAATTGTTTTTAAATACTTAATGCGAATAAAGAATAACTAAAGGTTAGTTAAAACTTAAAAACCATTTCAGCGCTTGTAATTACTTTTTTTAAAGGGCAATAGAGTCAATACTCAATAGACAACTCATAGACGCATGCGTGTTTCGGTATAATATACGTAATATAGATTTTAGTGCTTACCAAACATCCGGGCCGCAGACTTAACTCATACACTCATACGCTTGTATATACTCTATACACAAATATCTCGAGCAGATGATTATATAGTATAGTAATATGGTAATATATTGTAAAATATATAACCCCCGGGGATCGCGGGTACCGTGAAATCGCGGTCATCGCCGCAGGGGTTGATGTCAGCATCTTGCTTTTGAGCTAACTCGTCCGTGACGAATAAATACGGTCCAATAATAAAGGTTATTATAATATAGACGGCCAGATTAGGGGCAGAGAGCCCGCGGAGACGTTACCGCAGCCACCGTGGATTGAAACGTTCAGCAGAAGCGTGTGCGTACGTACTATTCTGGCGTTGAGAAAGAGGTATTATTGACTTGAGGGGAATGAAAGCGGTGAACCTATTTGTTTTATTCATCTTGTCATCGTAAACAACGAACAAATAAAAAAACTGTTATCAATAATTTATAATGTAAATTAACTTTGGACTTAAACTTTAAACCGTGTAGATATTGTATTATTAGGTACCTACGTATATGACGTGTTGGGATTTCGATAAACGGTATAACACAATCCGTTTATATATAATACGATTTTAAAAATCAAATTATTTATTCAAACTAATTAACTGTTTGAGTTGAGAATA